TTTTTTTTTTTTTTTTTTTGGTACCGGGGATTGAACTCGGGTCCTTGCGCTTGCAAGGCAGGCCACCAAACCGCTGAGCTAAATCCCCAGCCCCCAACCTTTAAAATTTTTGAGACAGCGTCTCAAGGCCATGCTTGAATTTGTGATCCTCCTGCCTCAGCCTCCCAGAGTTCTGGGATTACAGGCATGCAATGCCACGCCTAGCTAGACTTTTTTAAGTACAGTAAAAGAGCAAGTATGAAAACATTCAGTGGGACCTGGAGGTTTGGGGAAACACTGCAAGACTGAGAAGAGGGCATTCATGCCTAAGCAAAGGGAAGAAAGCAGGCAAAGGATCTGAGCACAGCGAGGGAATCAAGCAACTGGAGCTGAGCATGCGTGGAGACCAGAGTTTGCTCTCCTGGGGCCCCGGGGAGCCTTTGTGTCTTGCAGTTGCTCCCTGCTCACGTCCCCCGCTGAGTGGAACCTCAGGCCAAAGGACAGGGCCGCAGCGTGGCCAGTGGGGCCACCCCTAACATGGCCTTGAAGGGTCCGGCTGTCCCCTCTCCCCGCAGACTGAGGAGTGTGAAGATGGAGCAGAGGAAGCTGAGCGACCAGGCCAACACTCTGGTGGACCTTTCCAAGGTGAGTGGCGGTGTCTGGAGCGAACGGCGCAGGTCCCGGAGGCCGACAGCTCCTCCTCGGTTGGAGAGTAGTCTCGGTGTAAAGAAGGTTCGAGTTGGTGACGTTTGCAGTCTGCAGTGTGTGTCCTTTAAAGCTCGGCGTTGTCATTGTTTCTTAAGTGGGACGGCTCAGGTTTATCCCCACCCCATCCCCCGGTCTGCCCAGTGAGCACTGTGAGCTCCCGAGACTGGAAATGTATCTTCCTGCATCTTCCAATCCCTACAACTCTGGTTTCTAGCCCCAAATTCTTTATTTCTCAAGAGGCTGACATGAATATGGAGATCCCAAAAAGAAAGGCCTCCTTTGAACGCCCAAGGGGCTCGGGCTCACTGTTACCTGTCCGTCCATGTTTCTGGCGCTGAGCTGCCATGAGTCCCTGAACATGGTCCTCCTGCACGTCGCTGGGGAGTGAAGGCCACTGTGGCTGAGCAGAGGGCGCCTCCTCACTGCCTCCCACAGAACTCTAGAACTCGGCGTCGAGTGCACTGCCCAGGGCTGGGCTGGCAGAACATTCTGCAGACTTCAGCTAAGGAACAAGTTTCCAGGGAAACTGAGCACCTTCTGAAAAGAGGGTGCAGTCAGAATTGCTGATGTGCAGGCCCTTGTTCAGTAGTGGACTGGAGCCGAAGAAGGTGGCCCCTAGGCCTGTGAGGACTTTGACTGGGACCAGAGCCCACAGCCTCTGTGTCTTGGAGGGGGTGTGGAGGTGGAGTGTGGGTTCCTGGGAGCCTGGGCGCCCACACCCAGGGCGGTGAGCGGAGTGCAGGCAGGACAGGATGTGAATGAGATGCTGGTGTGCAGGGGAGAACCCCGGGCCTCCTGGAGGAACGCCTTCTAAGGATGTGAGGCAGCCTGCTTCCGACACAGCCTCAGAGCAGACCTGTGGTCTGACTCTGGGAAGGAACTGACTGGGAAGGACCTGGAAGCCTCAGGAGGGTCTCACACCATCTCTCATCTCTGCAGCTCAAGTGCCTGACTCCATTCTCTCTTCCCCTCCCTCCACCCCGCTCTCTTCCTCTCCCCACTCACCTTCTATTGGTCTTATTTCTAATTTTTTTGTTGTTTTTTGTTTTTGGTACCGGGGATTGAACTCAGGACCTTGTGCTTGTGAGGCAGGTGACAGAACCACTGAGCTACATCCCAGACCCTATTGGTCATATTTCTGAATGTGCAGATGAAATGAGCTGATTGATTGGCCAGTTTGGGTCATGTGCCCACTCTTGGACCAATCAGCTATGACCAGGACAAGGTTCATGAAAAAAGCAAACAAACAGCCAGGGATCCACTCCTTGAAGTTCAGGAATGGCCCAGTGAGGTTCCCCAGTCTTCTAGGAGAAGCAGTGTTTCCCCTCTCATCTAGCAGGGCACATGGTCGCTGATGTTCTCCAGGAATATCAGGTACACCCAACCTTCAAGCCTGCCTTTCTGCAGTGCCATCCCTGCCTCTCAGAGAGAAGGGACCCAACAGAACCAACAAGGTGGAGCAAAAACTCCAGTAAGGGGCCAGGGATTTAGCTCAGTAGTGCCGCTGCCTGCTCGGCAAGCACAAGGTCCTGAGTTCGATCCCCAGTACAAAAAAAACCAAAAAAACAGTAAGCTGGAAAAATGCTCTTATGAATTGAATGGGGGAAACCCACCGGACCGGGGAAGCAAGTTACCTGGAAAGAAAGAGTGTGCAAAAAAGGGTTGGGGGAGATTCTCAGAGCCCCTGCAGGGACTGCTGGGAGGAGACAACTCAGACTCCCTCCAGTCTTTGTCTCTCCCCACCCCCAGACTTGCCCTGGGTATTGGCAGTGGCTTAGCATATTTCACTTTGGTCCTCCTCCCCTGGCATCCTGTCACCAGGCAACGGAACCGGGAGGCAGCAACGTTGTGCTCCCTTTCCTTTATGGGTTTCGCTCTCCCACCCCTGCCCTCCAGTCCTCCCAGATGGAAAATTGGCACGTGGTCTCCAAATATTATTTTCTAGACTGAATAGCTACTTTATACGGTGACAGAGCTGGGAAGGCCTGGGTATTTTGCCTGATTGCTTCAATTTCTTCCAATGAAATGTCAAAATAATTCCCACCATCTGAGGCTCAGGTGATCAAATAAGATGATATCTTAAAAGTGCTTCAGAAGCTCTAAAGGCTTTGCAAATGGCAACGTTGATTATGAACACAGATGAAGAGCCAAGATCCAAGGAAGAGTGACCGTCTCAAGGTCGGGCCGTTGGCCAGCGCTAGGGCTGGGCCTGAACCTGAGGCCAGAGCTCAGCAGGGCACCCTTCGGAAGAGGAGTCCCTGATCTCACACATTCCGGGAAGAGTGGCACCTCCTCTGTGGGTGCTAATTGACAAGGGGCGGACTTTGACTTCTAAAGTCACCTCTGGCAAACGCAGAGCCTTGCGGGGAGCAGCCTTGTGAGCTCCAGTTGGCAGGGCTTTGCTGCATTTCCAAACTCCCTTCCTGTTTCTCTCCAGCTTCTCATTTTCTCCCACCTTCTCCCCGCTGACTTTTTCTCCTTATTTCCTGCTCCTTTGGCCCTGGGAACACCCACGGTTTCCACCGCCTTCTAGAGTAACATGGTGTTAGGGTGAAATAGGATCAGGGTGTCCCTGCAGGTCCCCGTGCCCCACAGCTTCCTCGTATGCAGGGGCTTAAATGCAGCCTGGCTGTCTGCACTGCCGCTGCCGCAGGGGCCTGGTTCCCAGTCACACGGAGCAGAGGGTGACGCTCCCGGGGATCTGGCTCCCAGGCTCGAGGTAGGAGCCAGAGTGGCGTTTGGTAATGTGCTAGGAGAAATGTGGCTGTCACATGACTGGGGCTCTGAAGACCGGCACGGGGAGGGAAGTCCGGGCAAGAGCAGTGGTGAAGGGGCCCCCGGCACCCTGAGGTGGTTGGCATTGGGTACAGGAGGGCAATTAGGGGGCACCTTCGAGGCAGCCGCTGGAGGGAGCCTGGGCAGCAGAGCTCAGAGTGGAGTTGCAGCAGGGACTCCGCCACACTGAAGGAGCCTTCAGGATGTCCCCAAGTGGCCAAGCGGGCCAGCCCGGGCAGGGCAGGACCTCAGAGAGGGCCCCGCCGAGTCAGCCCCAGCGCTTGGCCTGGCCGCCAGGTTGCAAGTGGGGCACGGTAGGCCTGAGTGGGTGCAGCATTGCTAACTCCAGCCTGCTCCGGAAGCATAGTGGCCAGAGGCCAAGCGGCCAGCCGAGGCGCGTCAGTGAGCTGTGGACTCGCCCGACCCGGCCCTCTGACACGAGTGTGCCGCTGGCCCTCTGTTCCTCGCTTCCACCGTCAGAGGCCACGTGAGCTGAGGGCTCAGGTCTCCCGAGAGTACAGACAGTTCAGAGCTCACTTCGCTTCAGAAGAAAGTGTCGTTTCTTTTCCTACATACAAACATCCTATTAAAAATGTGTAACGAGCACTCCTTGCTTTTGTAATAAGAAAGGCCGTGTGCCTCCCATCCCCGGAAGTAGCCCAGGTCTCCTGCCTCAGCCACACCTGACCACTGCTGCGAAGCGGAGGCTTCGTGTCCCACACGCAGACCCCTCTGTGACATCCGTCCCCTCCGTCTCTCCGCGCAGATGCAGAACGTCATGTACGACTTAATCACAGAGCTCAACGACCGCAGCGAGGACCTGGAGAAGCAGATCGGCAGCCTGGAGTCCAAGCTGGAGCACCTCACGGCCAGCTTCAACTCCCTGCCCCTGCTCCTCGCTGACACCCTGCGCCAGCAGCAGCAGCAGCTCCTCACTGCCCTCCTGGAGGCCCGCGGCGTGAGCGTGGCGGTGGGGACCACCCACGCCCCAGTCTCCGACAGCCCGATCGGGGTCAGCTCCACCTCCTTCCCGACCCCGTACACAAGTTCAAGCAGTTGCTAAATAAAACTCCCCATCCAGAAGCGTTACCCATAGGTCTTAAGATGCAAATCAACTCTCTCCGGTCGTTCTGCCGTCCTGGGACTCCCAGACCAGGGACTGGAGAGAAGGAGACCCGGCGAATTAGCTAACTCACGTACCTTCAGCGTGCTTGGTTCGAGATGCCTTGGAACCAGAAATCTAATCTCTGTTTAGGTGCCTCTGCTTGGGAGCAGGAAGAGGACAGGACAGGAAGCGACGCCTCTGGCAGGGCCCTTGCCGCACAGTTGGTGGAGAAAAGAAATCCACGCTCAATCTCAGGTCTTCACGTGGGGGTGGGGAGGGGACTACCGAGGCAGCCAGCTGTGGGCCGGTGGAAGAGGGGCCCTGGAGAGGTGGGGTGGGGGCCCCTCAGCGCACCACTCTCCTGTCTTGCTGTCTGTGGAAGCCTCCGGTGACAAAAGTAAGAGAGCTGCCCACAACTTGCCAAAACAGACATACCAGTTTAAACTGAAAAAAGCCAAATTTCCCATCCTGTGTTAATACCCGCACAAACCTGTGGGTTAGAGCGCGTGCGAGCAGACACAGGCACGTCCCACATTCAGTCCAGGTCTTTTCTTTGAGCTCAACCCAAATAAAAAGGGACCTGGTGCTTTTCCCTGCCCACAGTACGCAGCCTCTAATGTGGGTCCAGCTGAGCTGGTGTCCATCTGAATGTGGGGTGCATTCGGTCCAGGAAGTTCGCTAGCGACAGCCACCTGCCGAGCTACACCGAAGACGCAGCTCCCTTCCAACTGTGCGGGTCACTTGACGCGCACCGTGTGTGATTTGAACTAGATGCTGAGTGGAAATTGTGGGCATTCTGGAGGGATAAGCAGGCTTCTAAAAATAGCAGCTCTTGCAGAGTTTTCTTCTTACAGCCACACAAGCTGCGCTGTGATGGACCACACGCCCAGGTGATGTGTGTAAGGGAGGGGACTGCGGTGTGCACACAGTGCGGCCCAGTGGCACGTCCGCGGATGGAAGTGTGGTCTGAGACTTGTGAGCTGTATCCACCCGGTGACAGGTTCCGGGCCTCAGACATTAGGGGCACAAAAGGGCCAAGTGCTCAGCGGCGGGCTGCTGAGCTGGGGGACAGAGTGGCCGGCGTGGCCCCTTCTGCCTGATCTGGAGTCACCTCAAAGGGCAATCCTATGAGAACAGGGACCCCCTAAGGAACCTTGTGGGTGAGATGAGGAAACAGCCTGCAGTCTATTCCTATTGTGCCATGTTAACCTTGGTGCAAAAATTATTCCAGTATGTCTCAAACTCCAAGGGACTCCAAACACATCAAGACGGAGCGCAGGGGCAGGCGCTGAACGTCTGTCTCATTGCTCCATGATCTGACCACACGTCAGGTCCGCCATCACTTCCCGTGTCTGGGGCCTCTGACCTCGGCTGTGGGGAAGTCAGTGATGCCGTGCGGAATAGTTCACCTGTTCAGGGTATGCAGAGGGCGTTGTTTGCCTAAGGTCACCGTCCTGGGTTCAGCTTTGTAGAGGACACCATGGGCATTCCGGGGCTGTGCCCTGCTCACAGGCCCCTCCTCTGCGGCGACGGTCCGGTCTCCAGGTCTGGGCAGCACTGCCGGCATAGCAGAGAATCACACCCGGAGTGAAGGCTTCCCTTCATGAGATCTGCTCTCTTGCTAGCCTCTGCTTTGTGTCTTGCTCTTGCTTTTGTTTTGTTTTGTGTTTTGATAGCTTGTTATCAGTGCTGGGGATGGAAGCCGGGCCTCGCACATGCTAGGCTAGTGCTCTACCACTGAGCTGTGCCCTGCTGCTGCTGTTTCAGTCTTCTTAATGGTTTACTCTTCATAGTTCCCTGGAGCATTTTCATCCATTGTCTTTGTTTTTTGCATACCACAGAGGACACACCTGCTTTGGCTATTTTTTTTTTCAACTTGTCCTTTTAACTATTAATTATCTGAAAGATTCCCCCCTCCTTTTTTCCTTTTCTTTCCAAGAATGGTGCTTCTGTTTTCAGTCACAGTTTAGCCAAATATGTGAGCAAGTGTAAAAACAGATGAAATAGTCATGCAGTTTCCTTGTGGCATCGTCTCCATTTCACAGAGCCCACAGCTGGGCCCCCGAGCAGTCCCGACCATTTAACCTCCAGCCCTGGGCCATCGACGCCTCCGGGCCTCTTCCCCATGTGTTTTGTGCGCATGTGCTTATGGATGGGCGTGGCCAAGGGCGCCTGCGCACACGGGGATTTGGGCTTCAGCTAAATGTCCTGCGGGACCCCGCGGCTACTCCCTCGACCCGATGTGCGCGGGCTCTCATTTATCCACAGTGGCCTGTGCGTATCTTCGGCCCATCACTGATGCACTCACTAGGCGAGCACTGAAGACCAGGTTAGCAGCACCGGGCGAGGAGTGGTGGGTTGTTTCAGTGGCAGTCGCCACTGGTACCAGAGACGCGGGCGTTTGTAGCATGATTTGGCCTATTGGTAGTACAATCGCTGTGAATGGTTTTTATCGTTGGCGAAAGAAACGCATTCTTCCAAAAAATAAGCGACTGGATCTGCATGTTGGTTCTGTAATGGTAAATGGAATGCTGTTTCTCTGTACTGGCACTTCAGCTTTATGTGGGGAAGTTGCAGTTCTCTCCCAAGTACAATCAACCTTTAATGACCTAGTATTGATTACCCTGGGTGTTGTGCACCTGGATTTTCTTCCTACATCTTTTGGCCTCAGCATCTCAGAGGGGAAGGGAGACAGAATTCTAATGCCATGACTTCTTGTACCTTATTTGCAGGTTGAATTATCTACTTAAGAACAGGCTACATGGGCAGGGGTCCTAGCTCACAGATGTGACACCTGCCCAGCCAGTGTGAGTTTGGTTCCTGGTACCAAAAAAGAAGTGGAAAAAAAAGATCAGGAAACACCCCCCCCCAAAAAAAACAATGAAAATTAAAAACAATGGGCTACATGTAAAAACTACTAATTACAGTAACCTCACTCCAGTTCTTAACTGACTTAATTCTGCCCATTCCTGGAAGGCTGGCCTGATGGCAGAGCCCCTCCTATAACCTTTCTGATAATACAGTGGCAGGTCAGAGCACTCTAATATTCCCCAGCTACCTAGACACTTGAATTAGAAATACAGAGCCACCCCCATCGCTTAAGCCATATTATAGCTTCACGTACTGTAAAGTCAGGGATGTACTGTGATACTTTAAGACCACTAATCTCAGTGGGACTTGAGGACATAGCATCAGTTGGTGAATTATACCAGACTGGAAGCTCATTCCTCCTTAGACTGAAGTCCAAACAAAAATCTGCACCTTTGGATTAAAGGCCACATATGTGTGATCACCATCAATAAATTATCACCAAATGTTTATGAACTGTTCTTGCCATCTTCATAATATGTAACTTCATGACATCCTAACTACTGAGATGCTTAATGCAATCCAAAAGAACAAGAGGGGCCAACCCTGAGTCACCACTGACCGCTCACCTCAGCAGGGACCAGGGGTCTGACAGCTCTATAAATTAGGAGCTGCAGGCAGTGCACAGAACAAATTCTAAAATGCTGAGCAAGTGCAAGTTCTTATGACTATTCAAGGCCAAGAAGGAATAGCATTGAAGACATAATGACTTTGTTGTGTTTGAGGATTTTCCCCTTAAATTTTCAGCAATTTTCTGTGAATAAGTCATGGAAAAGAACAAAACTAGGGATACAGAATCAGAAAAATAAAAATCTAAATCTGGAGCCACATCTTTGCCGATTAATGTAAACACCTCATACCTCAATTTCTCTGTGCTTAAAATGAAGGTGATAATTAATATTATTAAGTTCAAAGTATTCAGTAGAAGGGGAAAATGAAATCGCTATTGTCACCAACAGCAGCCTGGACTGACCAGCTAGGCCACACTTTGCTGCTACATTTTAATGCAGTCAATAATTACCAAAAAGTAATTGTGACAAATCAAAGGGGCCGCAGAGCCAGCAGAGAGGACCATGGGGTCGGCATACAGGGCCAGAACCTGCCTCTTGCCCCAGAGTTAACTCGACAAACAGCGTACCCCCCAGTTGGGAATCAGTTTCGTCTCAGAGCAAACGGCCTCGTCACAATCACGGCGCCCCAGCTGAGATGCTGGGAAGTCGTTGCACTACCAGTAGGTTATTACTCTCTCACTGCTTCTAAATCCTAAAATGTGTCCTGGTCTTTGTACAGCCATTCTGCTTCCTGGGAAGTTGCTGGAAGCGGACTGAGAGTCCCTTAGCAGGCATTCTGTTGTCCCTGCTGGCCGGCGCTTGGTTTCAGCACCTTAGACAGCTGCCTGGTTACTTCCGGGTAGGCCGGAGCAGCCCCTTCTCTCCCCCTGCAGTCAGCCGGCTTGATGACACCCTGGACAGTGTCCCTTTTTCTCCACTGCCGCCAATGTAAGTCTTGCACCACTGAGAAGTAGTGTTACAGGGGTAGCGATATAAGCTGTCTGCCTGTGGTGGGGGAAACGTGCGCGGGGCTGCATGAGTAGAAACGGACTTTAAAGGCCTGTAGGACGAGTAATAGACCACAGATTGTTAGAAAGTACTCTGTGCAAAGGTGTACAGAGATACACAGATAGAGGAAAATGTAACTGTGATGCTTTTGTTTTACACCATTACTGGAAACACCCACACACGAACTGGAGTTCCTCGCAATGAGACCATTGTCAAATCTTCAACGTACGACCTCCAACCTAGGTGCCAAGTGCCCGGTGACTGTTGTTTACACACCTGAGACACGTATTCTGGAAGCTGTGATCTTGGGCCTGAACATACATACGCAAGAGACGCCGCGACCAACCAGCCTGGTGGAAAAAAAGCACAAACTTCAACATCAACTGATAGTTAGGACCCCAAAGAGATGCTGACATTTCTGGTAAACAAAAAAAAGTGACCAATCAAATATGAAGCTGATGGATGAGCCCACACCCAGCTTCCCACAAGAAGGACAGTGAGCCAGCCACATTAGCCGGAGTTGCGTCAGCCTGAATCCCCATCAGGACAGACCCGCCTTCTTCAGGAAGTGACTTTCAGTGGCACAAACTCGGTTTTGGTCCCAGGCTCTCCATTCTGCACTGGCCACAAGAGAACAAAGGAGTGACGGAACATTAACGGAGGAAACGTTTCCGCGGCACTCAGACAACGAAGTGTTCGTATTCCAGATCGGATGAGCTTCAGAATGAGTTTGCATCTTGCCTCTGTACCGCTTGCTATTTTTTAATGATAGGAGAAAGCATAACAGTTTATTTTAAATATGAAATATATTGCTATATTATAAAATATATTGTAACTTTCAATTAATATTTTGTACTGAACTAGTCTTTAGCAGGCCCAGCATCAGCCTGCTCTCCTGACAACTGTTTCTGAGTACACATCAGCGTCAGAGTGGGCACACCTGGCCACAGTCCCTGTCCCACGGCCACTCTCCTCCAAGAGCTTGCTGTTAGTGACAAAAAACCCACTAGTGCAAGCTTAGCTGTAAGCAGTGAGCCATTTCCTCCCTAGATTCTCTCCAGCCATATCAGAAGAAATGTTAAAAGCCATCCCTCCCTCGTGGCTGTGCACAGCCGGTTTAATAAAAGGGCAGACTCTGTCTGTATAAATGCAAAGGCCCTGTCCCATCCCGCTCCGTAAACGATGTCTCTAGCTCAGCCGCCCAGCTTTCCTGTCCAGCGTGGGAGGCGGGGGTCAGGAAGGCTCCTGATTTCCTGGGAATCGAAACACAGCACTTGAAATTCTAGGTGCTGAGCATTTCTCTGAGGAAGAGCAGAGGCAGGGTCAGCGTGCGGTACAGGCAGCCTGGGAGAGCCCAGCGCAGATGCCTGCAGTGAGGAGGCTGCTGTTTACCCCTAGCTCCCGAGGGAACGGGGACGTTTGGAGAGCCAGCTTCTTTCCTGGACTCCACCCTTGCGGGGTCCGTGTCCACTGCTGCTGAAACCCACTCCCCTCCTGCTCCATACAGTGGCTGAGACACACAGGCAGAGTTGTCCAGTGCCCTCCTTTGAATGGCCAAGGTCCTCTTCTGGACGGACATGGCGAAGTTCATTCCCTAGAATCACTCGTGCAGGGCTGCATGGGGCTGATCTCACTGAGCCTTGTGTCTGCTCCCTTCTAAACCCCGAGCTTCACACAGACCCACAGACAGGGCAAAGCAGGTCTTCTCCTGGGAAAAAGGCTGGAATCCTCTCAAATTTCAAAGTGTTTGAACTTACTTTGACCCCGCCGCCTCAGTTGTTTTGAGACTGGCCTTGAGCTTTCAGGCTGGCTTCAAACTCAGGCAATCTTCCTGCCTCAGCCTACCCAGTGCTGGGTTTATAGGCGTGCGCCTGCACACCCAGCTCTTTGAGCTTCAATTCTCTTGCTCATTGTATCAATGGGGGCTTGGGTCTCCATGGCATTGGTTACTCACAACCTCTGAAAGAGAAAGGTCTGGATGCCCGGTTTCAGTCCGCTTGAGTAGCTCAGCCCTGTCTTGTGCCCGGGCCGCGTCAGTACGGGGCTAAGTCCTCCCGGCATCTGTTTCCCCTCAGCCACATGTGAAGCTGAGCAACATCAGCGCTGTCAGAGCTCGGGGCACCTGTGTCCAGCAGGCTCATTCTCGGTGTGTAATTGACTGATGAAATGCACAGGGGGGTCGATTTGTCTCTTCATACTTTTCTTCTGCTAAATAGAACTCTCTTCTGGCTTTTCCTCGTAGCACTTCTCAGACTAAGACGTTTACATTTGTAGAG